GAACAGGGAACTCAATCGAAGATAGTCTTCTTTTTTAAGGAAATATTTAAAAGAGGTTTCCTTTTTTCACCCCTCTTTTTCCTGAGTGAAGCTACCGCGATAAGGATCAGACCCCTGAGTTGATTTGAGCTCGAGTTCGTTAGGCGTTTTGTCCTCGTAAATGTTCGAGGTGCTGGCTGCACAAATTAATATTGTGGATTGTGGTGTGCGGTCCTCGGGGACATGGTGGACATAGGACATAGGATACACTGGACTCTGTTTTTTTTTTGTGGAGAGGCACGCTGTCGGGGGCCAAACACACACACGAACACCGTAAACGAAGACAAAAGGACATCATCAAGCGGTGAATGCAGAACAATGGGCAAATTTGTCGTAAAGAAGCAGGCCCCAGAGAGAAAGTCAAACGGAAGGATTTATGCAGCTGTAACCGTGTCTGGGTTAGGTCAAGATGCCAATGATGATCCCCTTACCCGTTTTCCCCTCATGGATGATCATAATGATGCTGCTGTGGCTCAACTTTATCGCTGGCATGCGTATGCCATGACCTGTAAGTTCACTGGACACGCATGCACCTCGAAAAGCAAAAAAATGAATCGTTTGAGAGACCTGCAAATAAATGCAAAAGAATGGAGTGAACGCAGGAGGTACCCTGTAATATTTAACCATACATTTGGGAAGGCTACTTGAATCTAAGAAACGAAAACTTTATTGTTTTGTTTGTTGATTAAATGATTATTAGACTGAGCATACTAAAAACCCCCTGTAAGCAACCTTACTAGTTATTAAACCCCTTCAAACCCTATACACCCTTCTCTGGAGTGGTCACCAAAAACCCAAAAAAAAAAAAAAAGCAACGAAACAGATACCAAAAGACCGGATCAGGTCGTACCTTAATCGCAGCACTTTAATCGACACGCAACGTTCGTTTAAGTTAAATAAACGTTTAAACGAGAACACGGCGAGCAAAGGGAATGGCAAAGGTAAAACCCAAAGCCAAAAGGTAAACTTAAAGCCTTTGAGCCAGAATGGGAATGAGGATTGAGGCTTAAAGCTGGCAATGGGAATGGGCCAGGAGGAACAAGCCAACGGCATGCGCTACATGCAGAACTTGTCCGAGGACGAGGGCCTCAGGAAGCCTCAGGAGAAGGGAAACAAAAAAAGGAAAAACAACTAAAATCAGAATGCGTGTTCCGGCTGGGTGTGTACGAAATGTTTAAATTAAGGTGCATATCAAGTGCACCAGATCACTAATTACCAGCGCCAGCTAAGGATTCAAGTTCCTCGATCTCGTGTGAGCCAAGCGCCCCCAAAGATGCCTCATCCGAGGCAACCCAGGCTCGGGTTAAAGGTGGTGCCTTTGGAATCGAAATCAATAAAGATGAGCCTCCGATTTGAGGCTCCATGTGCCATGTTCTGCGTTCTCCCCGAGCAGCCTTAAGTGGGTTAATGTCTTGCTGGAAGAACAATGGAACTGTCCATCATCCGATGGGATCTTGGTGTATCACTAAGGTGAAAGAGGGAGAGAGTTCAGAGCTGGGGTCAAGTGGGAAGTGCCATATATACCTTTAAAACATATATTTATATAGCACAACTCTTACTGATATTAAATAAAATACATCTTGAAAAGCATTGTTAATTAACACAGAGAACAAAAACTAAAACTATATTATATACACTTCATATTTCTCAATATAAACACTTGAGTTTTGCTTCCTCAATCCTCAGATCCTTGAGACTTAATGATCTCTGACTCTCTTCAGGCAAGCTAAAGATATTAATATCGGTTGTATGTCATAGTTTGTTTTGACTACGAGTATTTGTCAGCAAAGACTGACTGACGGAGTCTGGGAACACGCCCCTTACCCTCTAGAGAAGCTCGACAGTAATTAAGGCCGCTACCGGACTCTGAAGCTGAAGCTAAAGCAAAAGCAAAAGCTATACAATCAAGTTAAGATTGCCTTTAACAAAATTTTATGCAAATCTTTGCATAATTTCTCATTAGAAACATGTTTCCACCACTATATAATGTGTCAATAATATTTGCGAGTATTTCTTTTTTTCTACATTATATTCATATTGTTTCTTCAAATCCATTGTCAGATTGAAATGCAAATTTGGATGCCACTCCACTCCACTCCGGTTGCAATTATTTAATTTAATAAACATGTTCTTATGGCTCACGTATTATATATGTGTTGCATGCATTAATTTGAAAGCTATAACCTGGGGAACATTAGCATCGCAAACGGTGATAAATAATTAAATGCGAATAGAAAAAAAAGTCACTTGCAGGTGCTTGTCTTGAACTATTTTTAAAGATGTGCTAAGCGCAAGTCAGAGTCTTTGTCTGCTGTTCGAACTCTATTAGTAATGCATCTATCATAGATCACTAGACAGACACACACACACACTCGGACTACACACACTCTCCGTGGGGGCCAATAAAGCATCTTGAAAGTCTTAAAATCCATGGCGCCAGGTAACTTGATCTAGCCCGCTTCGTCTGCGGACATTTTTTCGATGGGCCGATAGGCGCCTGCATTTTGACAGTCAATAAAATTTTGAAATGTTATACTTTTGGTCCAATCGATTTTATTTCTTCTCCGACTGTTCCATTCTTCTCCGTTTGCTGTTGTCTAAATGGCTTTTTGATTGGAGAGATTGGAGGGCGATGAGACAAATGAACCACTTTTTCAGTTTGACAGGCAGGGTGAACCCAAAGAAAACCCAGAGAAACGAAAGACTTAAGCAACGAACTTGACGAATGATATCGATATACTCTGAAATCGGCCTAAATGTGATTTAAATCAAGTGTGGGCTTTGTGATTCTCGGAGCGGAGTGAGTTTGGTTCGGTTTATCACTTGGAAAAACAAAAGACTTAGGACACGAACTTGATTGGTGGCAGCCAACAAAAAGACTTAGGACACGAACTTGATTAGTGGCAGCTATCTTAGTTAACAAATCGGACTTACACACATTCCTTAAGTTTAGGTCACTTAATTGTGGGCATTCTTGATCAGTGATCATGATTAATTAGGGTATATGATCAGAGTTAAGGTTGGAGTTACTTAAGATGTTAAAAAATTAAATGAAACCAAGCTTATATTTGTTTTGATTTAAAGAAAGGTGTAAAGTTAATTGTTGAATTTCATTCCAAGAAATCTTTGATAGCCTTGCCTTACATTATAACTCTTCTTAAATATAACTTAGTTTAATATTAAATTTCCTAATTTTAATACTTTTATTTTATATATATTTCCCATTTCCTTTAGAGACCTACTTAAGAGTATATTGACATCCATTGTCTTGAATTTATTGTACTTTATTTCGTGTGGCTCTTTTTTTTATACTATGACTCTTTAATAAACTATAAAAATAAATTTAGAAACAATGACGACAAAACACACGTCGGAATGCGATCGTTGTCGATGGACAATGGCGTGCGCCCCCGAAAGCACTCCTTCATGCATATTGATGATTTGATCTCCGATTCGATCCGATACTTCTTTTGACACAGCCCCAAAGGCAAAGTCAAGCATTACTATATAATATATATAAATGTATATATATTTTGCATCCAAGACTTTAAGAGTTGGGGGAATCCTGCATAGTTCTCGTGCCTTTCCCGGGTTCAGGGAGCCATTCATCATCGGTTGGAGTGAATATATATATGGACAGTGGGGCCATAAAACAAAGTTCGGCTAATTAAGTGATTAAAATTCTGGCCATCAACAGGCCGTATGACTTTTGTATGTGTTAATATAAAGTTTATTATTTGAAGCAGCACGTGGTGAAGGCATACTCTAGCCGCAAGTAGTAGGCCTATGTGGCATATCAAGCATATAAAGCGGGTGATATGCTCCGATCGACAAATATCTGTGCGTAACATTTGTGGCATTTTTAATTTACAACTCAAGAGAAAAAAAGCACTTAACGGCAGCTATATCGGTTTTATTATCAACCATCGGCCATCGCCATCGTCGACTCGATCGACTTGCAACCGAATGTTTGATTGAATTTATGCCATAGCATTTGTTAGCCGTCTCGTTTTTTTTGGTGTTGCCATTGACAGGCCACGCCCATTTGGCCCGTGGTCGAGGCAAAAGACACCGCCGATCAGATAGCTTACTACTACTATATATATAGAGAGAGATATATGTCTGAACAGAACTGATTTTGAAACAAGAGTGGTAGCTTGAATAGCCAAGTAATTTATTGCCTTTGATCCTAGGAATGTACGGTAGCCAGCAAGCTTTGTTGACAGCTAATAGATACATCCGAAAGATAGTTTTCAAAGTGGGGAATAAAGTACACAAGAATGTGTTGATGAGAGAAGATAAGTCAAATTTCATAAGAATAACACTTCAATCAAAAGGATTTATGAAACTTTTGATCAGTTACAACGATCTGAACAGTGAAGTTCTGTTAAAGTTTTTCATAAATCTTCATTCGAAGTGAAATAAAAATAATCCAGTTTTTAATTTTTCATATATTTTTTATTTTTGTTCTCTTATAAAATTAAAAGCCAATCTAAGGAGATGCACATAGGACTAAGGACTAAAATAGAATAAAATACTTAGATACAATTTAGATCATGCTTACACTTAAACAATTTCTATATACAATAGCGATTTAAGGGTGGGAATGATTGCTACACTTACATTTCTAACTTTAAACTTTCAAGTACAATTGCAAACAAAGCTCAAAGATATTTACAATTTTTTTAACATTTCATAAAAGTAATTTTTGGATCTGAGCTCAATAGGTGTATGTGTTGGTGTGTGTTGGTGAGTGTTGGTGTGTGTGTTGGTGAGTGTTGGTGTGTGTGCATAGGCGTTGCAACTACCTGACCTGACTGTCTCCATCTCTGTCCAGTCAAACCTGTCTCTGTCTCTGCCTCACTCTCTCTCTCTCTCTCTCTCTCTCTCTCTCTCTCTCTCTCTCTCTCTCTCTCTCTCTCTCTCTCCCTCTCTCTCTCTCTCTCTCTCTCTCTGTCTAGGTGCGAGCGAGTGCACATGAAAAATTTACATTTTCTTCAACTAACAAAAATAAGCGAAAAAATAAAAAACAACAACTAGGAGCAGGGGAAGAAGTTGGGCTCCTCCCCCCTTGGGGTTTTTTCTTCCAGTTTAACCTAGACGCACACAAAGATGCCCCGCATGGCGCTGGCCGCATTGTGAGCCACTGCAAAGCCACCAAAGTGGGTGGCTTCCGCTCCACCGCCCAGTTTCTGGCGCTTCACCTCTGCGGCGGAGGAGGAGTTGGAGTGCGAGGAGCTGCTGCTGCTAAGGCACTCGGCTTCCAGTTGATAGAACTTCCTCCTTGGCGCCGCCTCCAACTCCTGATCCTCACTGCCACTGTCATTGAAGCTATGCACCGAACTCCTGGACGTCTTCATGCTCAGATCCATGGGTCCATCCTGGGAAATGGTTGCTGTGGCAGTTGCAGTCGTGGGAGTGGTAACTGGAGCGGGAGCAACTGGAGCCGGAGGAGCACTGGTCTCTCCACCAATGGAGCACACGGAAACCGGCGAAAGGCTCTGCATTTTGGCGGCAAAACTCAGGGGACTGCTGGGCGTGGAATGGAGATGATGGGTGCTGGGCGTAGCTCGGATGGCCACCGGATGCAGGAGATGACTGCCGGACTGCTGGCTATGCACGGACTGCACATCCTCCTCCAGGCACACATCAATGGGCGACTGGCGGGCCGAGGGTGTGGACTGAGGCATGGCAGCCGACGGATTGCTGGCCGGACTGAAGCGGCTCTGCGATTCCACGGAGTCCACGCTCTGGCGGTGCTTGTACATCTCCTGGCGGTAGGCTGCATCCGCTGCCGAGGCTGCTGCAGCGGCGGCACTGGCATGATAGCCGGGGAAGAGCAGGTGCGGCGGCAGTTGGAAGGGCGATGGGTGCTGGCCCATCATGCTGAAGAAGGGCAGGGCGGCATCGGGCAGGTAACTGGGATAGCCCAGCAGAGGGATATGCGGGTGACGCTGCTGATTCTGGAGCTGATGCTGTTGGCTCTGGAGCTGATGATGCTGCTGCTGCTGCTGCTGCTGATGATGGTGATGCAGATGGGCGGCCATGTCACCAAATCCGGGTGTGTGTGGTGATCCCACGGGCGATGAGGCCGATGGAGCTCCGCCCACCGAGGTAGGTGGCGCCTTGCCAGCCGCTGCCGCTGCCTGTTCGTGCTCCTGGAGGAGGCAGTGTATCTTGAACCAGTTGGAGCGACGACCATAGCGTGATCCGCCCTTGGACATGCCCACATTGTAGCATTTCCTCAGGCGACAGGCCTTGCAGGTGGTGCGATTCTTCTTGTCAATGATGCACTTGCCCTCGTTTTTGCACTCGCTAATGGTGCTGATATTGTTATAGGATCTGCCAAAGAAGGACTGTAATGGAAAAGATAAAGGATAAAGGGTTAGTTAAATGTTCAATTCATTCAAGAAGCTGAGAGATCAGGAAATACTTGAAACCATTCATAGCAAAAGACTTTATTTTAAAGTTAAGTTAATATTATTTGACAATTAAGTTACTATTAAATGTTGCCAAGCATTTACTTATGTAGATAAATGTTCACTAATGAATCACTCTTTCTAGAATGTTTCTTGAGTATTTCCTAGGTTTTTTCTCTCTCTTTTATATTATTAAAAAATTCTCAATGAATTTTTTGGGTATACAACTTACCTTGCAGCCCTCGCAGGTGAAGGCGCCAAAATGGAAGCCCGCCGCCGGCTCACCGCACACTTTGCATGTCTGGTTCATCTGTAAATCGAAAGAGATAAATCCAGAGTTAGTAAGGGTTTAATCCAGTTGAGGCTGTAATCCATATGAGTCTGAGTCTGAGTCTGATGAGGACACTAACCAAGTTGAACACCATATTGACTACGATCGATGTATGATAGTTTCTCTCTCGCGATTGCTGTGATCTGTTCGTTGGGAAGGCTGACGAGCAACTGATGCTGAGAGACCCTTTGGCCAGGATATTTATAGGAAACTGTGAAAAACTCCGCAGGATGGGCGTTTTTTATGATCACAAAAGGAAAAAAAAAACTTAAGCTGCCGGATTATGCAACCCTATGCGTTCATTTTCATTTTTTTCGCGCTGTCCAGTCATAAAACTCAGGTAGATTTCCTTTCCTTTTTTAGATGAAGTCATTACGAGTGCTGCGCGGAATTTGTGTTCCCTAAAAAAATGCAAAGATTCGTCCAGACCTTGACGTGTTCTTTCGGTCATAAAAACTCACGCCGATTTTTCCCCCGAGTCAAACAAAAAATGGGAAATAAACCGAATTTCGTTTATGAAAATTGTAAAAGCCAAAATGAAAAAATGAGTCAGGGAAATGTGTCCGAGAGTTTTTCGCGCGAAACTGTAAAAAATCAAAGTAGTGCACAAGGGATCATAAAATAGCCGACGGCCCGAGACCCGAAAAAAAACAAAAACAAAAACCGTGAATTGACTTCAATCTTTTAGAAAACTTACCTTTTTAGATTCTTTTTTATTTTCCGCTGCGCACTGGATTTTATGGCAACTTTTTAATTGCAGCGATTCGCGATCGTTGCTGCACGATTTTTCTCACTGTTTTTGCTGTATTATTATTATTTTTTTCTTGAGGAGTCACTGTTCGATCACTGATCACTGAGTTTCTTGAGTCTTGAAGACGATATAACACTCTGAATATTGAGATTTCCGACGCACTCTCGATGTGTGTAACTGACACTTCGGCTACTGGCTGACGACTGATTTCTGGCCGGGAGATTCGACTGGCAAGAAGCGTTTCTGTGTTGTCTGTTTAACTGGCCGAACTCTTTTCTGGCTTATGTATTCATACACTCATACACTCACGAATATTACCAGTTTTCCGAGCTCCCAGCTCTCTGATAAATCACGGCTAAAACCACCACCTTTATAGAGAGATCTACAGAGAGGGAGAGAGAGCATGAGAGCGATCGCACTCGAACTCTGAGTTTGAGTGGCAATTGTGAGTCTCTGTTAAGGCTCTGTTAATTCAGGGAAAACACTCACTCACTCACTCAGTTTTGAAGTTCGAGCACTTCTCTCTTTCTGGCTCGATTTCCCTGTAATCCAGCAATTTGCATTGCCCTGGTATTATTCGTTATTCGATACTATATTTATTGAAGAAACACTCGATTTGGTAAGGGCGGCTTGGGTTGAAAATTTCTCACTCGAAGCACGCACACCACCGCGAGCTATTGACTTCATTTTTGAACAGTTTCTCATTTTATTTCGATTTTTGGGCGGAGCCTTTCGACCCGCTGCAAATCGAAATGGTTGGAGTTTCAGTCTCTGGGGGTTTTTGCTTCAAAGTCCGTCGGTTTTTATGGGGTTTCAGCTACCGATCTGGGGGATTTCTAAGGTACTTAATCAAAGATTGGAAGATTAAATTCCTCTAGATCTATGATTCATATTTGTATGAACTTTTAACTCTTTCTGTAATTTACCCAATAAAATGAATAAATTTTGGGGTAAAGTACAGGTTTAAAATATGTATAAATCAATATATTATATCATTGAGATCTGGTGAATGTTTGAAACGGATATCCGACAGGTTTTTATTATTTTATATTATAATATTATTATTATTATTTTCATTTTTAATATGCAGTATTTAAAAACTATCATACATCTACATTATTAATAATTTTTATAGGTTTCTAAGGTCTTAAACCTTGATGATTTAAGTTTATGTACTTTTAAAAGCATTATTGCTTATAAATCTGTCATTTTAGGTACATATATAATACTTACGAACTAACTATATATAAATAAGTCTAAATCTTTATCAATGAGAAATACAATTTAATCAAACTAAATAAATATTGAATAAATAACAGCATTCCAAAACAATTGCTGTGACAGAATTTGTTTATAAATTATTATTTTAAATGTATTTAATTTATCCTTTAACCTAAACTTGTTTAATTCCCTTGAATTTAATATGTCAATTTTTGACCACAAATCAAAGTTAAAAAACTCATAACTCGGCCAAAAAAGCACTAATTATAATTCAGAAATCATTCATATGTTAGTTTTTTCCAAAATTAATAAATCTGCATACTTCATTTAAACTTATTTTTGTCAACTTTTGAAAATTTTAATGATGTAACCCCTTATCTCTTTTTTAAACAATTTTTTCAAAAATTTATTTTTGGTCGGATATATCTAGATTGTTTCAGCTATAGATTCTAGTCAAAATATATATGATTTATATCGTAAATGACTCCTTCACTTCTTCGCAAACTTCTAACTAAAATTACAATACCCTTTAAGGACTTCTTCCTCTTGCCCTTAGATTGCGCAATAAACCACCAACTATCAATCGAATTCAATTCAAAACCCTTTCAAAAGTCAGTTCCCAACATCATTTCCCCTTTTGTCCAAACAAAGAGCCTTATGGTAGCACTTAACTCTTTTTATGAATATTTATTGTTGTTTGCTTTCGGGACCAGAAGGAAGTTAAGAGCTACCTGTTTTTAACCCCTTGTGCATTAACCCTTTTTATGGATAGGCATTGTGCCAAAAGGGTTGTTGGTCAACTAAACTATGAGAGCCTTGACTTTTTGGCCAAGAAGAAGTGTGGCCCACCACACTTTCAAATGCCAGCTAAACTATATTTTTGGTTCCTCTTCTCATTTTTTTTTAGGAAACATCGTTAGGAAAATTCCAAGAAAATGCAAAAATGCACTTTCATTTGTTGCATCAGTGTACACGGTTCTTGGTAACAAGGGGAAAAAATCTGACAAAAGGCTTGTAAAAAAGTCAAAAAGTAACTAGAACCATCTCTCCGCCCGCCGTTTTTTCTAATCGATTCGATTTTATTGACCCTGCCTTCTCCTCCCTTTTTTTTCTCACACGCCATAAAAAATAAAAGACCCGTTTGCGAAAATTCTGTAAAAAATCAAAAAGGAAAGGAAAAGGAAGGGAAAGATTGCAGTTGAAGCGTTTTCGCGAATTTCCGCACAAGCCAAATGGGTAATTTTCCCCGAGTAATTAGTTAGCCCGAAAGGAGAGGGAAAAAAATAAGGACAATGTGACTTTAATCCGGTTTAATCCCCGGCTTAAGTTTTTTGCCGGCCGGCCGCGCGAAGGCATCTTTCAAATAAAAAGCAAAAAGAAAGAAAAAACCGAGTGCCGAGTGTCGCGTCCGCCGTCATAATTATGATCCTAGGATAATCTGCAGCTTAGGTAAGCTGATCCTGCGATTAGGTAACGAAATCGCTGGCTTAGGTACCCACAAGAATTGGCCTAAAAAACTTGGCCCGCACGCCGGACTGTGTGTTTTCGGGCCGCGGCCTTAAGTCATAAAGTCGGCCTCCGACCTGGTCGTAACCATAAAAAGTCGAGCAGCCGACTGGCCGTAACCCTGCCAGCCAATGCAGAGCACCCATCTACACTTTTTTTCCTCTTTTAAGTGGAAAAGGGATAAAGCGGAGATCTTTTCGCATATGGTCCTGCAGCAGGACCTCATATAAAAAAGTCAATTGCCAAACGACGGGTTCAGGAGTTGCGTAAAAAACAAATAGAGTTTCAGGGGAAAAAAAGCGTCAAGGTCGCCAGGTTCCAGGAGGCGAGCAAAATTTGCTAAAAAACACAATAAAAAAATAAATATAAAAAAGTAACGCACATATCTGAGCTGACTTTTTGACTTTTCAACTTTACTTAATTGCCCGAATGTCGTAAAATAAAAAATAAATAGTGAGATGCTGACGGAAGTGCCTAGAGGTAACCCCTTCTCTCGGATCTATGGATACCCTCCGATTTACATAGATTTTGATTGCATCATTTTGGCCAAATGACTGTATAACCAGCACATATCAATCAAATCGAATCCAGAGACACCGAACTCGTTCGGACTCGTGTTCGATCTCAAAAGTAATTTGCATATTTTTGATTTAACAGCTCGGACTTGGCCATCATTGTTATTGTAATTATGTGCGGGGAGGAAAATTTGCATTTCTCGCTACGCTATGTCCTCTACAACCGATCAGGTTCTCAGGTCCAAGATAAGATATTAGGATTGGAATTCTGCTAAATACTTTATGACCAACATTACAATTAGTAAATTAATGTCTAGCAGGTTAAAGATTTTAGGCATAATGCCGGCCGATAAACCAATGAATCACATCGCGTTGGATAACAACGGAATTGAGCCGCCGATTGAGATGTATTCATTATCTTCGATGACTGTTCAGGTTTCATTATATAGTAAAAATAGCATTGATGACCGAGGCAGGAGAACCGCTTTTTAAGCTCATCTCTTCGTTATATAAAAAAAAATGAAGGCGGAAAATATTTATCGTTTACAACAGATTTTTCATCTCACTTGGGCGTAAATTAAGAATTGTTCAGCACTAAGCACTATTATTATCTGGTCTTGTTTGGAATGTGCTCGCTGGGATTTTTATCTGGGGAATGTTAAGGGTATCTTTAAGATATGTTTTTAAGATTTAAGTAGGGAAATTAATTCATCATTCTTATTCTAATTTATTTATTTATTATCTGCAAACATTTATTCTGGCAGGGGAACCCAAAGAAAGAGTCACTAGAACTTGTTTGGCCAATTTCTCATGGCATCTGTAGGATATATATCTCTAATATGTTGTTGGTTCATTTTCAAAACTGACAAATGTCTTCTGTTTAATTGTGTTTCGGTAATGTCTTCATTACGCTTTCGTTGTTCTTCTCTCACCTTAAAAAAAATACATATATATATATAAAAAATAAAACTCGTTCCGATGGTTTAGCGTTCTTCATCGCATTTGATATATGGCCAACGTTTATTGATTCTCGCGGCGGGAATTCGACTTTTGCAGTGGCTTATCACTGAATCGGACAATTGATATTGTATTGGAATTATGAAATTATGCAAATTCCGAAATATGATTATTAGTGGCAAACAAAAAGGCAGGCAGGAATACAACACCAAAAAAAACAAAAAGGGGTTGAAATGGCACCTAAGACATTTGGCAAATATGAGATTTATAATCGAGTGTGACAGCATAAATAATAATTACGCTATAATTATGACAGCGAAAGAATATTCGTGTGATTTGAACTTAAGCCGTTGGATAAACCTAAAGAGTAACCCTCGGAATGATTGAAATAGATATTAATATTTGATTTCAGCAAGGATTTCGTCTAAGCAATTCTCCTCTGAATTCGTTTTAAGCCTTTTGGCACAAATCTCTGAGTTTTCTGAGTTTTCCATTGGAGTTTCCCTGAGGATTCGATCTGTCTGGTCCAACTTTCAAACTTCCCACGGATCACCAGATAGATCGCTAACGATATGTTAATGTGACTCGGAGCCAGTTAAAATACACTGGGCCCAGTACCCACATGTTTGAGATTAAACTCTGCTCCGGGGACTGGGATTGGGCAAAACCAACTAGCGGAAGTTGAGGCTGCGGTTTGGCAATCGAATTTCCAGCCGGGCGGGAAATGCGGTGAATTTTCCAAAGCGTTTCGCGGTTTCCCTTGGCTGATCTCAATTAAATCCGCTTCGGGGACTTGTTTGATCGGATCCTGGCTTTGGAATTTTTGCAAATTGCACAAGTCGCCGGGCAGCAGGATGCAGGACATCTCCCCGGCTGACTGCCTGGCATAAACACGGAGTCGTAATCCTGGCCTAATGCTCGATAATCTATCTAAGCCGCAAGCAAGTTAAGCTAACTGGGAAAAAACGCCGTCAATGGATGGTCTGACGGGGAATTCCCCTTCTTCACTGAGCATCTTGATCGATCCTGACAGATCGGTGATACTACGAATCCGAGATTAGTCAACATGACTTTGGTTATACCCAAAACTGTAGTTCCATGGCTCTATAAGATCATAATTATCGCAGAGCAAAAATATAACTGGAAGCGAAAAAAATAATTAGGGAGTTCTGCAGAAGTTTCGTTTGCTTAAAAAGTAATTACGCAAACGAAGATAAAAAAAAATTTATATCTAAAAATATAAAAAACTGTCTTAATTTGGATTTCTTTTAGATAAATAAATCCCTATTTCCCTATCCCTATTTATAACATAATATTCACTGAGAACATGTATATTTATTCATAGAATTATGAAAGGAAGCTATGATTTAAGTATTCAGTCTACGTCTGTTTTCTGGAAGTATTTTTCTTTGGCCATTAATTTTCTATTTCAGGCACGATAAGTTCAATAATCAAATCTAACTTTGATTCCCAGACAATTGCAACAAGTCCAGGGCCCACACACATTATCGTTAGTTTCCTGGAAACATATTTCATTGGCTTGTAAATATGGTTTCACTTATCGTTTTTAATGATTGCCCATAAAAATTCTGACCGGATGCTCCCGGTACCACCACCACCCTCTTTATACTATTTTCCCCTTTGGGGATACACTGCAGAAAAATAGGTTACAATACAGGACAACCTATGACCTTTGTTTATGAATAAAAAATATATCTACTGGATTATTCTATTGATACAATTTAGTTTCAGACAATAAATGACCAAGAAAATAAATACTTAAATAGTTGTATGCATTTTATGAGACCTTCTTTAAAAGAATTATATTTATTATATTAATAATTACATCAAAATTCAATTTCTCATACAGTTTAGATTTTTTTCCTAAGAAATTGTATAGGAAATAATTAATTTCTCCACGAATCTAGAAACTAGCATTACTCTGAGCCAAAAAAAAACTAATTAAAATTATACAAAAATACCATTTATCAAAGTGCCTTTTAATTGTGATTTTAAGTACATATTTTTGTACAGTGCAAGGGCCATTGGGGCTTTCTCTGGCAACAAGTGCAACCGCAAAACGCCCCCCAAAAGCGGGAGGAGCGCCAAGCGTCGTTGTCAACGTCATCGTTCTAAGGCCTTAAGGTTGAGTACAATAAAAGTACTCAGTTATGCAAAGCGCATTTGTGCAACGATACCCCACCCTCCCCCTCACCTCTCGGGTGAGTGGGGGAGTGGGAGGGGGAGGGGGAACGATCGTCGACCATTGACCATCGAACGATCGATCGTTTGGAATACGCCTTGGCATTCAGAACGCACTGCATTTCCTGCCCGTCGACGGGTCAAAAAACTCGCCCACACTTCATAGACGTGGTTAAAAAACTGTTGAATGAAATTGATCAATGCACACGGAAAAAAGAGGAGTTAATTTCATATAAAGTTTATAATTTTAATGACATAAAAACATAAATATCAAATGAGGAAGATTATAGGAACTATGAGTACATCACAGTTACCAGTTTCCTTAAGATGCTTTGGCTAAGATCAATTTAAATTTATGTTAACCCTTAAAATATTTTAAAAATCTTAATGATTATTATATATTTTTAAGGAAATAATATAAAAATCTATTAAAGTAAGTTAGGTAAGCCTTTGTGCTTTTTACATAAGAGTTGAACAGCTCTTAAAGAGAAGTATTATATAAGATTGGCTATGATTTTATGATTAAGATTTTATAAGATGCATAGTATGTAATATATATCATATTATACTATTATTTTCTTTCTGTATATCTTTGCTTTGAGTGTTTTCTTCTAACTGTTTGTGTTGTTAATTAATTGAATGCCCTTTGGCCGATTTAAAATGCACCACAACGACCCACGATCGGCCATAAAGACGTCTGGCTGGCGCCGGTGTCCAGAATTTAGGGGATTACGTTTGGTCCTACAATTTCCCAAGGAGGTGGATAAATGTCTCTCCATGTCCCATTCATGCTGATCTGTTCCATTTCCAATTAGCTGCACGTTCGCTATGCTAATGACTCGATTTTTCCACCTTATCATGTCCTTCCGCCAGCTTTTTTCTGACTTCTGGCTCTGACTTCTGCCTTGTCGTCTTGGCCAGTCTGCAGCAGCGGCACTTTGAGGCTTGCTTTTTTTTGTTTTTTGACAAACTCACATGTCATTTGATTTTATGTTCACACGGGACAATTTATATGCTAATTCGCCGAGTGCATCAAAGGCGGCCCCGTTGACGGTTTGCCTCTGATGAAGGTGTTAGAGAAGTAATTACGCTGCATTTAAATGCTCAATTAGTGCGAAGACAGTCGCTGCAATGGAGCTGCTCCCCACTGATGGATATGGATACGGCTTTCCTCTCCAGGTTTCCTTCACTTTTGAGTTTTTAACTTGATTGGTGGAACCGCGCACATGTCACAAACGAGCGCATCGAACTCGAAAAAGTGCTAAAATTTGTATTCTTTTGCAACTTAACATTGTTATCCACCTGCTATTGTGGCTTGGCATAGATCATGACTAACTAGGGATACTATAAAGATGAGTCTAAGGTCAGTTTCTGATTGTTTAAAGGAGCTAGAAACCATAAGAATGCCTTGAAATTATTTAAAATAATGGAAGCATCTTGAAAGTTTCCCTAGATCTTCTCACACACTGCCCACTTTCACCAGAGTCCACTCGAATTCCCTTATCTAGCCGCCTCCATTTAACAATTTGGTCCATTTGGCAAACTCTTGCCTTTCCCCATACCTTTCCAGGTCATCTGTTGGTCGTAAAAACAAGAAAACGCATCTCGTATCTCAGAGATTCAGCACTAAGTGATCTCAGTTCGTCGCCTGGGAAGTGTCTTTGTCAGTGACTTTCCCAAAGACCACAACTGGTGGTCAGTGGTGGTCGCTGGACTCGATCCCGATCCCAGATCGCTCTGTAGACTCCTAAATTATAATAAACGTGTAATCGTAATGTGTGCTTATGAACATAATCCTCGGGTGATTTCGCATGAATTAGCGATGCTAAATGTCAAATCGGAGCGATATCAGTGCAGTTCAAAAGCATCTCGAGATCCACCGCCGAACCCCCAACCGGTCCACCATTTGTACCTCAAGATTGTCGTAAAAAAAAAACGGCCAAGACGAAGACGAAACCAATCTGAGTCAGCGATTGATTCAAATGTGCATGCGAACGCATTTCGCAAATGCCAAACACTCATAAAATTCAGAGTTGACTCTCGGTGCATCATGGAATGGATATAGGTTTTAAGGAATCAGATGCACAGGGGAAACTTTTAAGTATACTTAAAAATATATAATAAATTTCTTAAGAATATATTTGTATAGCAAATAGTAAGACAATTTCTATATCATTTAATTGAAACTATTAAATACTATCAAATATTTTAGAAGGAACAAGAAGCATGTCCCTTTATGTCTAAATATAAATCAAAATCTTTGCAAAACTCTTTAA